AATTAAATTTTTATCTTTAATTAATTGTTTTATAATTATATTAATAATTGAGTGTCAAAAGCCTAAATACTTAAAAATAAAGATTCTCTGTAAACTATACTTTAAAATAACGATAGCTAATAAAAGCTTGTACAATCAACTCTGCTTTAATAAAATCTTAAATCAAAAGAATATTGTGCAATTGCATAAATGCTAATATCCGTATGTAATACATGATTTATTCTTTATCGGATTTTACAATTAATCTGTGCACAATTTTACAAAAATTTGGTTTTTAATATAAGAATAAAAGAATTCACACACACAAACTCGATGATTAGACAAGTAATCAAAATAGAAGGAACTTAATTACAATCACACAAAACTTAAAAATAAAATCATAACACTTCTAAAAAGTTTAAATGCATGTCCACAGACAAGATTATGCATTGTATCATAGAATTAATGGAAGCAGTTTCACAATAATGATATACTTCGCATTTCCATTCTTATCTAAAGGTAGTAGAACTAACTAATATATTTATTGCCACCAATGATTGTGACTACATATCTACACATACCTACGAATATTTAAAACGCCATGTACATTCCGCATATATGTATATTCACGTGTTTGTATTTGTATCAGGATTGATAATACAAGCATCCTTGGAATTAATAATATAAGCAAACATGAAACTAATATAAAATGGGTTATAAATGTTCAGACACTCAATCCATGATGATGTGTATATTTCCATTATCTTGATTCGTTTATAAAAGAAAAATTATTTAATTAATTTTACATGAAGATGGATTGTTTAATTTTTTATTTTATTTGAGAGATACGACACAGTATTTTATTCGAATTACATATTATAATTGTAATTATTCTTTAATATATCTATTTCAATAATTTTTACACACAAAAATTATCCTGCACAATAATGCGTCTTTTTTTACGCCATTTTAATTTTATGATATCTGTGTGTAGATATTAATTTGTAATAATAAAACATCACTTTTTTCTTTCTAATATGCTACCCCAAAATCTTGAATTATCTCAAATTTTATTCGCTAAGTCTTTTTTTTTATTATAAAGCATCTTGCATTGGAAAAAATTTGGGGATATATTTCAAAACATATATTAATATCTATAGCATGTTGTATTTAAAAAACTAATGAGTAAAAAATATCCAAGATACGTATATCTGGATATGTCTGCTAAAATTGAAAATTATATATGCGTAATAAAATTAAAAAAAATGGAAACTATTTTTTATGAAATAATGCATCAAAATAGGCTAATGAAAAAACTGCACTCAATCACAATACATTCTTATCTCAGTTTTGGTTCTTCAATTCCGGTTTTCATAAATTGGCAATAAAAACTGGTACATAAAACATATATTTAAAATACAATATTATATTATTAATATTTATATTGAAACACATATAACTTCTCTCTATGCAGAAATGCAGAATAGATAAACAAGTCCTAAGGAATGTCTGAATACTAAGATTCCTCTTGAATCAGTGCTTTGTAATTTCTATTATTTTTCAATCCAAACATTTTGTAAAAATATTTATATAGTCTCAGTAATATATCTTATAAATGTGTAACGTGTTTTACATATTAATTACAATAATAAAAACAATATGTTCTTCTCATCGAAACACATACTGAAAAGATATTTCAATTCTGATACTAGCAGTTTGTGTACTGCGTATTTCGAACTCATCAGGCATTGTGCCCCTAATACAAAAGATAAATTTTTTTAATAATTCACAAATAAATACATTTATAATATATTAATAATAATATATAATAGATTTGCACTTGTAAGCGCAACAACTTATGATTATTTTACTATTAATGTCAAGAAGCTGTGTATATCAGAACCCATATAATAGCAGCAAAACATTTCATCATTATAGTTTAACTAACATTGCGCTTGCTATATGTCTGAGTATATTTTGGGAAATATGGAAGAAATATTAATTTCCCTATAAGAATCATTTTGCAAATGATATTCCATTTTATACAAATACATTTTTTTACTCAAGCTTCTTGTGCATATTTGGAACGATTCACAATCTCTTATTCATGTTTAATTTCTTATTATATTATAAAGGACTCCCTCATGATGCATTAAATATTTCTAATAACTAATTAATAACAAACCGCGGACTTAATCTTAAAAATGACATTGCTTTGCCATCTTGTGGAGACAAATGACACAGCATCCGCAACTACAATAGCAAAGAGAAACTTGAGAGCGATCATATCAACGTTTTTCATCATTATGCGGTAACCGCCACAATCTAAGGTTAGATGTAACCTTACCACAATCCCTTTTACAGTAGTGCCATCCTATTATCAGAATTGAAAGAACATTGCATCTACTGTCGGTAAAGTCATTCACTGCACGTCCATGCACCGACAAGATACTATTAAAATATAAATTATAAGTGCACGATCTTAGATATATTAAATGTTTCTAATAACGACTAATTAATAACAAACCGCGGACTTAATCGCATTATATAATTTTGTGATCTAGAGCTAATAAAAAATATAATGGAAAGACATAATGTAAAGGTCTTGATAAGTGTGGGAATATACCTGAAATATAATAGTTTTAAGAGAATGTCAAGAAAAAGACAAAATCAGTATCGATATATAATAAATGCAATATAATGATTCCGAATTTGAAAATATTTACCTAAGTTTGCTCTGGACAGCATATAACTTTTATACATTGAGCTACTGATGGTTAATATTCTAGAATAATTGAAAATTTTCTCTCGATTGCTTTCAATAGCTTCATTCAAAATCATCTAGATTTACAATATCAACCTCCATGATACTGTTACCGGCGAATTGGCCGAATACTCCGCTCGACACGCTGCGTTTTACAACTGAAATATTTGAGAAAAGAAAAGCGGTAATGTATTAATGCGTCGCGTATATAAAAACTTTTATTTCGCCTATATACGAAATTATTTGCAATTTGACAACTAACCACTAGAAGGATCCACTTTCTTTAGCATATAAATAGGCAAGTCTTGGCATTCTCGTGCTATATATGTTCCAACGACTGACATGTCAGTGATTGGTGGTGTGACTACTTTCATAGTTTCACGCACGATTGCAGTATCCACTTCGTAATAACCTAATATACAAGAATTATATTTATATATATATATATATATATATATATATAAATCAATTTGTATTAAATCGTAAACTCACCATTGTACATCTTTCTAAGGAGATCATACATATTACGAGGTGGCAATACACGTTGACGATTCAATGGCATGACAAAGCAACAATGGCCATCAATATCTATGATACCTGTTTTATTCTGTAAATAAATACAATATTATAAGATGTCTTATCCTATGCAAAGATCGCTCATTATAGAGCGCAATACAGAAATAAAATATCGACTCACAATGTTAAAATCGTGTATAAAACGTCCTTGACGTCCACCGCGGAAATCAGGCACATCAATTTTCTCATAACGCTCATTCTCAAGATCAATTTCAAATCTCTCTTTGAAGAAATTATTAATATCGTGATCTATGCGTCTTGTAATATCCACTGCATCCTCCATAGCTCTGGTGAGACTTTTGGTGAACAGATCAGAGTCAGCCAACAGTCCCTGATGAACTCCATTACTGCCATAAGATGCCTTGTTTGAGCTGTCATATGGAATGCTGTACCAACCGGTACGGAATCTGCGCATCTGAGTTCTTGCATATTGTTTGTAAATATAAAGTCCCCCGATCACCCCAATAATCAATATCATCAGTGCGACGAGAAAGAGCAAAAATGTTGCTGTTACATGTATACGGTGGATGCTTCTCTTGGAAACGAAATAATGACCAGTTGGATCGCCTTTTGGACGTGCTGCCTCCGGATCAGCTTTTGAGCCATCCTGTATTTGAAAGAAATATCTGTATTTTTATTCATTTAATTACTTTTTAATTCTCTAAACATTTTTTTAATTTTTATGTTAATCTCTACAAGAATACAAAGTAAAAAAAGCAAATAATATATAAAATTATATATTTCATGTATGTATTTGCATAAAATTTTATGAAAATAAAGATAACTGTTTATCAGTAGGTATATTTACATCTTTTTGATAAAACAAAATTGATGCAAACAAAAATTTTAATATCTCTCAATATTCAATCATATTATGAAAACTTTGTCAGTAAGAAAAAAATATAACAGAAATTTTATAATTTTAGGTTTTATTTTTCAAATATAAAATAATGACTTGATACTTTAAAAGCTAATAAGAATGCGTTTTTTTTTTTTATAAATATTTCTCGAATGTGTAATGCATCTTTTTTATGGACGTATAAAAATGTGTACGATGTACATTTGTTATAATAGTAGCTTTTTGTCATAACATCACGAATTTACTTCTCGGTCTCATCGATATATATTGCACAGTGATATGTCAATATTATCAAGCGCAAGCATACATTTCCGCTGATAACGAAACAAATATATAATGTATATACACACATATGTACTAATGTATATAAAATATAAAATGTATGTATGTGTGTATGTATATGTGTGTGTTATGTATGGCTCGATATAAATTGATAATTCGTCGAATAGGTACATGTTTTTTAAATGAAAATTGTGCGTAGTTTCTGTGCGGTTCGGCCTTGATGAAGTTAGTTAGAAGTGACGCTTTTCCAATTGACGAGTCAATTGATTAGTCGAGGGAAGCATCTAAAGTGTCGTGAATGAGATACATGTTACTAACCGTCGCATTTTCCTCAACAAACAATGGCTGCTCCATTTTGTCGGACGCCTTCTTCTCGGTGATCGCTTTCGTGATGACAGTCATCTTGGCAGCTCTTTGGAATGCCTACCGCAAACGAGAGAATATCCCACGATGAAGATCACAGGGACCGGACCGTCCACCTGGCTACTACAACGTTTATCGGAGTCCCCCTCGAACGAGAATGAAGAGGAGGGGACAAAACCAACACCAAATTGACGTTTCGCGAACAACTGCGTATGCACAAAACGCCGAGATTGATCGCTGACAATTGTGCCCTCGGAGAGTCGATGGGACCGAACGCGCGTGCGCGCGCGCATGCGCCGAATCGCGAATATTCAAGTGCCGTTGTGGACAAGATGTATGCCATAGACATAATATATCTAGACCGAGCATTTGCCTTTATTTAAGGAGTGGGAGTAAAGATGCACGTAGAAAAGGACATACTCTGTTTTGTGCCCCTTGCGTTCTCTCTCGCTCGCACGTAGCATAGCGTACTCTTTCGCTATGCTACATGCGAGTGAGAGAGAACGCAAGGGGCACGGAACAGAGTATGTCCTTTTCTACGTGCACCTTGGCCCCCACTCCTCAACATTCGGTCTAGATATACTATGTCTATGATGTATGCAATGCAACATGAGTTTCGGAACGCGCAAAAATTGTATCGATGAATGATCTCGAGACCTCGTTATAAAAATCGATGTATCGATATTAATTTTAATTTTAGCGACACTTTTGTTCCTAGAAAATAAATTTTTCTATTATTATAGGTGTCAAAAACAGTCTATAAAATATAATTCTTGTATATTTTAAGCCCACTTTACACGATCTATAATTTGCAACAGAATTCAAGACAGAATTCTATTTATAATTTTTATGCGTTGTGTAATACAGAAAACATGTGAACAATCAGAATTATAACTATCATGCTTTATTTTTATAAATAGAAAAGACGCATGAAATATGCGCAATGTACCCATGATTGATGAATTGTAAATGACATAAACTACAAGTTAACCTGCTCTCGTATCTGCTTAATAATCTAAAGAAAGAAAAGAAGAAAAAAGATATATGTGACAATGTCTTGGTCCCGGTAGCAAGTTACTTGTTTATTAACTGAATATAAGAAATATCCTTGCCTATACGTAGTAAAATCTATCAATTACAAAAATAAACATGGTTGTGCCGATGCATTAGAAAAGATTTTTTCTGAACTAAAATATTTGGGACCGAACGTTACAATCGCAGAAATTAAAAATAAATATGGTGCTCTTCGCTCAAGTTTTCTTGTTGAATATCGCAAACATGAAACTTCAAAGAAAAATGGTGCTGGTACTAATGAGGTACTACAATAATTGTATACTTTTATTTAAATATTATTATTAGATGTGTGCGTGTGCGTGTGCGTATGCGTGTGCGCGTGTGTGCGTGTGTGTGTGCGTGTGTGCGTGTGCGTGCGCGCGCGCGCGCGTGTACGTGTGTGTGTGTACGTGTGTGTGTGTGTGCACCCGCATCTCTTACATACATTATAAAAATTAACGAAAATTCACCCAGTGTTGATGATCTTATTTTAGTATCTCGTGATATAATAAAACATTTTATTGATATTTTTTAGATTTATCGTCCAAACATTTGATATTATGATTTAATGACATTTATTTTCGAATACAGCATTACATTTAGATAGATCCACAAAATAAGACCTTACAAACATACATATTTAAAAGTTACATACTCTATTAAAAGTTACATTACACATTTTTAAAAGTTAATAACAAAGCATTATATATTTATTATTAGATAAATTAACAAAATAAATTATTTTCTTGACATTTTCATTGGCCTTAATATCATTTATTAATGTTAAATTATTTTCTGTTTTACATATTATGTTTTGATATTGCATCGTTTTGCCAAGCTACCATTCCTTCTTTACAAAAATAGTCTTTATATTCTTCTCGTATTTGTAATGCAGCGACAGAAACTCTACCTTGTCGTTATACTACATTAGGCAAACGATTCATATTATTTAATAAATCTATGTTTGCAGTGGTATTTTCTGTAGTTAAAAGATTATGTAATGCTACACAGGCTAAAGTAATAAGTTCTAGTTTATCAATCGATAACAGTATAGGATTCAAAAGCACTCTAAATCTATTAGCTAAAATTCCAATTCGTTTTCGACTACTCTTCTTGCCCTCGATAAACGATAATTAAAAATTCTATTTTCATAGCAAAGATTCCTTTGAGAATATGGTTTTAATATCCTTGTAGACAGAGGAAAAGCATCGTTTGCTACTATTACAAATGGAACCTTTGTTTTACGATGTGGCAATTCATGCGAATTAGGAAAATCTAAAGTATTATTAAAAATAGCTTTTGATAAATTTGTGATTCTCGATATACTCCACCATCGCTTATTCTACCATTAACGTCAATATTAATGTATGAGAAACGATAATGTGCATCTGCTAAAGTTAACAAAACTATAGAATGATTACCCTTATAATTATAATATAAAGATCCAGCAGATCTAGGAGGTCTAAATTTTATATGACGCCCATCGAGTGCACCGAGACATTGTGGAAATTGCCATAATTTATAAAATTCAGCAGCAATATGTTCCCATGATGCTGCAGTGATTGGAGTCTAAAATAATATGCTAATTTATTATTTGTCATTTATGATATTTATAATTTCAAAAATATTTTAATAAATGACTGTGTAACACGTATTATCTTACTTTTAAATATTTATCTTTAAGTACATGGAAAATTGCTTTGCATACTTCTGGTATTATTAACGATATTCATGTATTCTTGATGCGCACATTAATGATCGGAATGAATCGCCAGTTGCAAGAAATTTATGCATAATTTATAAATCCTTATAAATAATACCTAGATTTCGCTGATATGCATTCACGCATGTTAGTATCTTGTAAATAGGATTCTGTCTTGAATTCTGTTGCAAATTATAGATCGTGTAAAGTGGGCTTTAAATTATTACGAAGTGGATATTGCAATCGCGCTATAAAAGTAATCACACCACCAATCACTGACATATCAGTCGTTGGAACATATACATAGTGCGAGAATGCCAAGACTTGCCTATTTATATATGCTAAAGAAAGTGGATCCTTCTAGTGGTTAGTTGTCAAATTGTAAATAATTTCTTATATAGGCGAAATAAAAATTTTAATATATGCGACGCATTAATACATTATTGCTTTTTTTGTCAAATATTTTAGTTGTAAAACGCAACGTGTCGAACGGAGTGTTCGGCCAATTTGCCGGCAAGTATTATGGAGGTTGATATTATAAATCTAGAAGACTTTTAACGAAGCTATTTAAAGTAATCGAGAGAAAATTTTCAATTCTAGAATATTAACCATCAATAGTTATCAATGTATAAAAGTTATATGCTGTCCAGAGCAAATTTATAGTTAAATATTTTCAAATTCAAAATCGTTATCTTGTATTTGTTATATATCGATACTGATTTTGTTTTTCTTGACATTCTCTTAAAACAAAACACTATTACATTTCACGTTTACTCCCACACTTATCGAGATGTTCACATTATATGTATATGTCTTTCCATTATATTTTTTATATTAGCTCTAAATGACAAAATTATATAATGCGATTAAGTCCGCGGTTTGTTATTAATTAGTCGTTATTAGAAACATTTAATATATCTAAGATCGTGCACTTATAATTTATATTTTAATAGTATCTTGTCGGTGCATGGACGTGCAGTGAATGACTTTACCGACAGTAGATGCAATGTTCTTTCAATTCTGATAATAGGATGGCACTACTGTAAAAGGGATTGTGGTAAGGTTACATCTAACCTTAGATTGTGGCGGTTACCGCATAATGATGAAAAACGTTGATATGATCGCTCTCAAGTTTCTCTTTGCTATTGTAGTTGCGGATGCTGTGTCATTTGTCTCCACAAGATGGCAAAGCAATGTCATTTTTAATCTCTGAAAGCGAGTAAGCATAGTTTCTAAGGCTCTGTACAATCCTTTTTATTTTCGATAAGAAAAAATTGAACTCCACGCATATATATACATCAAATCAGTGCTCAAAGTGCTAACAGTTAAGAGATTGATTGCTTTCGGTACATATGCTCGCTGAACTTGAAAATGTAAGGGATTATATATTTTATATTCAAATAAGACTATTCGAATAATTTCAATTACATCTTCAGAATTATTTTATCATAAAATAATGTAATAGTATTTTGCATTTGTTGCCAATGTTTTATTTCTTCAAAATTTGCGAACACATCTTCAAGTGTTTATTTTGAACGTGCTTTCTTGATAACACTTTAAAAGACTTTGCCTTTTCAAATTTTCTAATGTAAATTAAAAGTTGATATATTTCATTTGTTTGATTCTATTAATTCTATATTTGAACAGTTAAGAGGACGCCGGACCGTCCTGTTTTACCGGCCATAATAATTATATATTTGCTTAATATAAAAGTTTTGCAATGTGTACGTGCAAAATAAGATACCTCTCCATTCGGAAATGCATGAAAGAATATAAGTGAACGTTTAAAAATGTATTTAGAAGCCTAGTAAAAAACATTTCGGTGTACAAAATTTTGCATAGTAAAATCTTTTTTATAAAGCTTCTAAACTCACTTCTCAAAGTTCACTGATATTCTTTGATAAAATGGCGAGTGCGGAGTCCACTTTTTAGGCACGTGCAGATTACAAATTTTTTATATTAAGTAAATGTTGACGGCAGAAGCCGATAACAAAACTGTAATTTTTTAATTTTTTTTTTCACTTTTCATATAAAATCATAAACTCCGCACTCCATTATTATGTATACTTTAATTATGGAAAAGGATTTGTTGATATCTATAATCAACAAAAATATTTTGCATTTTAACTAATATTCATATTCTGTCGGTATCCGGCATCCTCTTAAAAGATTAATTTTTTTTTATCAAGATTATGAGTTCTCTGTGAAAATTTTTACATAAATATATTAAATTTCTCTCTAGTTTTGCGTCTATTAGAAGCTAATTTAGAAATAAAAAATACCCATCTTTTTATCATAAGTTACCAGCTATATTTTATAACAAAATAAAATTTTTAGATATTATACTACTTGTAATGTTTTAAGTTTATGTTTAAATTTGTTTACATCATGTTCCACGCACCGGTTTATTTTTGTTTTTCAAGCCTAATATTTACAGCGTAAAAGAGAAAAAAATATTTTATAAAAAAATGTATAGATTTTTTAAATATTAATCTAGAACTATATATTCATAGTTTTTTAGCCAGAAATATTGTATTAGTACATATTAATCTTTTTAGGTACGGATTTATTGAAAATTAAAATCGGAAAAAAATTATTTTACTTTTTTTTCAATTATTAAATAAAATAAAAAATTGAAAAATATTTTGATATTTTTGAAAAAAATAATATATAGATTGTGCGTTAAGATTAACTATTTGTAAAAGGATTTCATACATAAAAAAAAAAATTAAACATGTTTACACATATATGTGTCAATATCCCTGAACAGGTTAAGGAATAATCTTTTTTTTACACATCAATTAAAAGGAAATAGTTACTAATAATGTGAAAAAATCGGAACATAAATTAAAAAGAAAAAACAAATTTCTTAGATCTTATACATTTATCTCATTATATATATCTTATTTACGCTCTTTTTTTTTATTAACATATATATGGTTGAAATAGAATTTTGTTAGTTGGTTCCGTTCGTCTTTGTTCGAGCAATTTATCTTCTAAAAGCAAATCCTTTACGACGACTTTTTGTATCGACTAGCAATTGTGCTTGTCTCTTTAATGCGTTTCGGGATGGGACTTCCTCTTCGTCTTCTGAAAGAGGAGCAGCCGGAATCGCGCAGGATGGAAATTGTGGAAACAATGGCCGGCCAGTATTTGCACGCATTGTTCTACCTTCTGCCGAAGTCGTAGCCACCGACATTGTTTCCAGCTAAAAGACAAAGGCGTTATTTATGGTCGATCATGACAATTTAGGAATCCTTTGTGAATATTTGCCCACATAAATTATCGGAATAAACAGCAAAATCTACAAGTTTAAAGAATCTCTTTTGTAAGCAATAACAATGAAATATCTATGGATCTGAGAATACAGCAGAATATACAAAAAATTAGCAGTTTGTTTAGAATTTTGTTTAGTTGCTCAAAAGAGTTATCTGACAATCGTAACTATTTGTAGAAATAAATAATTGGCTCTTTATATGCTTAAAATGTTTATCTAATAATAATAATGTGTATAACTCTCTCTTATAGGCATTTAAACAGTAGAGATAATTGTTTAAACTATACATATATATAGTATAGTATTTTTAGTTGTATGTATTACACTATTTTTTAATTAAAGCAACTATAATAGCAAACCTTATGGTTTTGTTTCAGGAACTTATCCATTGTGAATATAATTAAAACTGACCTTTTCGAGTAACGCTTCATCCATCACTTCAAGATATTTGTCAGATACGCTTAAAACATCGAGTTCGTGTTTGACCTTATCGCTCAATACTTCGATAATCGCTAAGGTATCATCCATTTTAATGTCCTCCAGCAGAGGAGTATCTGTTGCATGCTAGAAATAAGTATCTTTATAAATACGTATATAAATTTTAATAATTATGTCTTTTAACATAAAAAAAGTAAATATATAGCATAAGAAAAACTTTTAAAAAATTGTTAATGTATGTAGAGAATTTATTTACTATCAGAACACGCGTGTACTGAAAATATAATACTTTCATTCAATTTTCTTTTAAGCTTATCAGTATAACAAGCTTTTTGATGAATAATTCTCTTTGCTATAGAAAATAATTATATTTCAAAGAATCTGTTACAACAATGGAAAATACATAAAAATGACGCTTAAATCCATAAGCTCTCTTTTGTCGGATTTCTTTTTTTTTCTTTTAATATATAATCAAAAAAGGAAAGTTATTATAATTGCATTCTCTAGAAGATGCTAATTCCTACCATACATGTGAAAATCTATACATGAAAATTTTTTTTGCTTTTATAAAAATTTTTTCTTTTCTAAAGATATTTTTAAAAGTTAAATGTGTGACACTCTGCGTAAAAAAGCCGATAAAAACATTGACAAAACAGAAACAATATATGAAATGTTATAGAATAAAGAAATAACATAATTTTTAGAATAAAATTTTAAGTATTCAAATTAATAATCTTTCTACGTGAAATATAACCATATATATTTTCGAAAGAAATTATTCTTCAGAGTCAAGATAATTAAGATACGCTGATGTGTAAATTTTGCTAAATCTGTTTCTAAATATAATTGAGTTTTCACCATAAAAGTGTTTAAAGAGGCAGTTTTAACATACGAGCCTGTCCGAAGAATTTTTCTTGGCAATTAACGATCGGTAGATTCCACACGTATCCAATTCTCGATAGAATCAATACTGATTTTTCACGCGGTTCGCTTTACGTTCGCGGAAGTGTTTATTTTCGATCGAGTATTGAGGTGTTAATGCGCGGAGCAGGCGTTGCCGTTCGAGGTGAGAATTACAGAACGCGGGCTATTCAGGAAAATTCATCGACGATACGTATACGATGGCTAGGGGTGTTAAGCTTCCAGGAACGATAAATAGTCGAAGCTGTTTGCGTCGTGGCAGACGTCCCATTAAAGGCGATTTTACTAATTCAATTAGGCATTTACACGGTATTTCCATTCCGACATTACGGGGCCTTTATCCACCGAATACCTTTCTTTGCGTGTGATAATTCGCGGCGACACGTTTCGAATACGTATGCACAAAAGGAAAAGCGCTAATTAAGATTCTTTTATTTTAACAATCTCTGCCAATACTTTTTTTGTCATTACTTTTATTCAGCCAATTATCGCGCGGATTTTCAAATGTGTTTCAGTCCATTTATATATCTCCGTTCTTTTAGCACCGAACGAGTTTTCAAACTTATAAGATCATGTCAGAATCGCTCGGGACTTTATTGCAATATTTGGAGAAAGACGAGATCTTTTTCTGTTACAATTAGATTATTATATACAAAATTATATCTTTAAACATAAAAAAATTAATATATATAGCATAAGAAAAGTTTTTAGAAAATTATTAATGTCTATAGAAAATTTATTTACTGTCAGAAAACACACATGTGCTGAAAGTATAATACTTTTATTCAATTTTCTTTTAAGCTAATCGGTATAACAAGCTTCTTGATGGATAATTCTCTGTTATACAAAATAATTATATTTCAAAGAATCTGTTACAGCAATGGAAAATGGAAAAATGACACTTAAATCCAAAAGTCCTCTTTTGTCGGCGTTCTTTTTTCTTCTTTTGATTCTAGTTTACCTAATTGCATTCTATTATAAAGAGGATTAATTATTATTAAAAAGTTTAATACTAACGTATTTGAATAGAAATATACGTTTTGTGAATTGTAAATCGTGGATTTATTCTTTTCTAAGCACAGAATCCATTTTAAACCATCAGGCAATTTTAGACTTTGTCTTCCATAGATTTATAATTGATATTTCTCACCTGAAACTTTTCGTACAGTTTATACAGCGTACTAGATACGTCATTTAGAACCTCCCGGACTCGCCGACTTGCAATCTCGGCTCTCTCTTTACGACATTGTTGTTCGTCAATTTGTGAGTTGAGTTTTGCCACTATCTCTGCGTTTCTATAAAATATTTAATGTATTGCAAATTGAGGCAAATTTATAGGTATAGATCATCTATAGGTATAGATAATTTATAGGTATGGATCAAGTCCATAATTTTAAAAATTGTTTTTTTACATCAACTGCATTATAAGATGTGAGACCAAAATTTAGAAATGGATTTGATGAATTTTAAAACAAGCAAATCTGGATATTTCCAATTTGTGTTGAATCCAAATTGGATTTTTGGGGTAAATTATAGACTTAATTTAATGCGATTTTAAAAATATTAATTGTTAATCCGTAGTGGGTTTTTAACGAGCCTACTGTTAATTGTCTGAACTTACTGTTCGGTGCTTTTCGTTTCCGAAAATTTTCTCGTTTCTATCTCGGCGCTGAGCTCCTGCCTTTTCTTTTCAAGCATCATCTTCTCTTGTTCCGTCGCCGCTCGCATTTTCTGTAGACTCTCCTTGGTCGCCTGCTGACCCAGAAACCGGTTCAGAACTTCCTCTGACCTGGACACTCCGGTAGCATTCCGCAGTTTGGCGAACGTTTCCTCCAGCCGCGCCAGTTCGTCCTTGATAATGTCTTCTTGTGCCTGTATCCGATTTTTCCCGCGTGTTTCGAAATCATCCCGCGGACGAGTATGAAATATCATGCGCTCCAGCCTCTCCAATTCCATTTTTCGCTCCGACACGCGCTGTCTGGTGGAGCAAAAAGTTTTGGTAATTATGCATTTTAGGGCCGACCTGACCGATTTTAATGATCTCGACGTATGTTGTCAAGGACACGGCTCTGAATAACTTTCAAAAGATTTTAGCTGTTGTTGTTTATTAAAAGGTTATTAACAAAATAAGTTTAACGAATGGAACGTAATTTTCTGACATCATATACATTTAAGAAGGAATATATTTGGTGGAATATGTGTTCAATGCGTAGTAATCATAATATTGCTTTCAATACGCTGTATTTGTTTATATTCTTTGTAAGTAAATCTACTACAAATACATTAAAACATAGTAAATCTCCTAGCACGATCACGATAACTTTGGCCCCCTATTTGAAAAGTCGTTTCTGAAGACAATTTTGACGACAAACACGGGAAAATAGTTTTAAAATTCCATCGTTGTTTATTAAAAAGTTATTAACAAAAGAATTTCTACGAATTATATGTAATTTTCAGACACCATTCATTTATTTATGTGTAGTAAATTGAACGCGTGGGCGGGAGATAATTTTTGCCTCTCCTCCTGCATCCCCACTCCGAAAAAAACTAACCTAACCGAACCCATATCTGAGAGGTGAATTATTATATATTATAATTCTAATTTTAAATTAGAATTAGGTTTGGATTAGATTAGAATTTTTTGGTGTGGGAGTGCAGGGGGAGAGACAGAGCCCCTTCCCTGCCCACGTTTTCATTTTATAATACACACACATGCCATGTATGTTGTGTGTATGTGTATATTTCTTAATATTAATGTTAGAAAATTATATTCTATTCGTTAAACTTATTTTATTAATAACTTTTTAATCAACAACGAGCGACGGCTAAAACTTTTTGAAAATTATTTCAGGGTCGTGTCCTTGACAACATATGTTAAGGTCATTGAAATCGATGAGGTCGGCCCTGCATAATGCAATATGCATAATCACCATATTTTTTTAAGCATTAAATTATATTCGCGATGATGATTATCGGGAAATCTTGTAAGGACTATATTATCAATAAATAAGTCATCATTAACTGTATTAATGGCGAAAGATACTTTTCGAAATATAAAGCTTCCGTTATATAGCGTACCTGTATTCTTTGATGACGAAATCGCGTTTTTTGCTGGAATTCGTCTCCTCGATTTCCTCCTTCACCAGGGTTTCTTGAGTGTTATCTCTCAATTCTATAGCTTCTTCCTTTACTCCCTGCAATCAATATACATATAGTGATAAGTACAACACCAAAACGCTACTACTCTCATTACGTCATTACTCTCTTTATGACCTTGCCTGTAAGCGTTTGATCTCGTTCTCTTGTTGTCTTATGCCGTCTTCTAGATCTTTCAAAGAAGAGGCGTAAAAGACAGATTTCTCTTTTAACTTGGAGGAAACGGAACGATATTTCATGCGCGAGATATTCGCTTTAATTTGCATCATTCGGATATGCTCCAACCGAACTTCCAAACCCTCGATTTTCTGTGCAAGCGGACTGCATTTACGAGAGTCATTACTTATGGTAAGAATTTTGCGAATTTAAATTACATTACCCTTTTCATAGGTTTTTCAGTCTTCCTCTTGAACACGCAATGACCGCGTCTACGCGCCAATTCCTTGCGTTCTGTTTGTAAAACATTTAAAGTCTGTTCTTGCTAATAGGATGCAGATGTTGAGACATTTAACCGTAATCATTTTTGCTCTATGATGTATGTGTGTGTGTGTGTATGTGTGTGTCGACAATATTTAGATTTACTCTCTTACCTTCTCTCTTTCATATTTAATTAAATCTAGTTTTTTTCTTAGACGTATATTATTCTCACTTGCTGTAGCAATAATCTCCTCCAAATTGCGTTTTTTCGAACAAGCTATAAAATCATGACTCAGCAGAGCCGCCCGTTTCATCGCTTCTTTATTCTGAAATTTAACATTAATTCGTGCTAATATAATATATATGCTTAGAGATATCTATAATCCTCTTCCTATAATCCGTCTTACAGTTTTCGCTCCCGCATATTTCACATAAAGCTCTTTGATCTCTTTCTTAAGATCAACGATCTTTTGAGCATTCTCACGTTTCTTTGCATCATATTCTTCAAAATTAGCTTTTCTTTGGCCCTCTGAGAACAAGAGAAATATTATAATCATATTGTCTATTATATTTTCCGTGCAAAAAAAAAAGAAAAAAGGAAGTGCAAAGATATATATTTATGTCTAGAAACTTTTATTTAATAAATGGATTTAGGAAAAGTATAATTCTTTCCTTCTATGTAGTTATATATTATTTATATACATATTATATACGATTAATTAAATCGTCATGATATTCTGCAAACACAATTTTTTGCAAATTTGATTATGAAATAGTACACGAGATCAGGTGATATATAAATTCAAAGTTTTATAAGTTCGAAGTTTTATTTAGTCACAAGTATGGCAGATGAAATGATAGGCAGCGGTATTCCATAATGACTAATCGAGTTCAGAGAATCAGGTATACAATCTAATAGATAAACCTATTCAGCTGTCTTGACTCCCCGATGGCACTAGATCTTTGAAAGCCGATCTATTCAATGCTCATCACTATCGAAGCTGCTTATTATTTACGTCGGTTCATTAATGCGTAAACACGTTAGAAAAAGCTTAGCAGAATTTCATTCATGACAGAAGTTTCATTTAAGCAGACATGTCATGAAATTAGTTGATTGATTTGATTAAAAATTAATTAATTAATCATCATATTAATTACTCGATAAAATTAAAGTTATAAGATAATTATATATATATAGTATAAATATGGGTAAAGTGATAAAAATAATAAGATGGAATATACAAAATGCCAAATATAAGAAATTTAGATGTATAATAAAATAATTGAAAATGAATTGATACAATCTAAATTCTTCTGTATCCATATACAAAGAAGAAATTAATTTTGATGAAATATCATTAATGCAATTTCAAGAAAATATTTTAATATAAGTGTTATTGCGCACGTACATAGAAAAATAATTGCATGCAATATAACTGACAATTTTTACCTATAAATATGAAAATCTACTTTTTTCAATTAGAATTGATATATGTATTGTATAGATGTTTTAACATAAATTATTTTTTTTGCAGACAAACTTTTTATGTTAAATGCTCTTCATTTAAATAGGAAATTAAAATGATTGCTGCATATTTTTTGCAAGTTTTTTTTTATTAATATATAATTATGCATCAGTAGAGATGCATTCCGCATATTGTCCTACCTACAACACCTAACAGTCTAATCGATCTGATCCTACTAGATTTTGCTCCCCTTTTCATTTCTCTTTTTTGCCGTTATTTTTGTATATAAGAGAGATTGTGCGCCGCCTCAAATACTGGTTCTTCCAGTTCGACTTGTTCATATTTATCATTGTATAATACGATCACTATGACTCTAAAATGTCAGTAAGCTGTCTTTTTTTGGCACGCCTTACTCCATGATGTGTAACAAATATCTGAATATTAAATTAAAGGGTGTCTCATTTATGCTACATCATAACATAATTTACATTTCCATAACAAACTTTTTGATTAATTTCAAATCAAGTTATATAAATTTTTAATTTTTAACATTATAGGCATAATTCATCTCTATAAGACACAAAACATTTATTAAAATCCATTTTAAATTAACTATTAAATTTTAAAAAAAATGATTTATCTCCTTTTTTTAAAAGTTTAATTTGCTAGAAATTAAATAAGAAGCTTAGAGTTTATTTTCAATTTTTAATTATTTAAAAACTCTGTAAATTTCCTTTATTTTTATTTTAAAATTTGAGAAAATTGTGAAAAAAGTTAACTTTAAATTAGCTAAAACGCATTTGCCATAACTAAATAATACTGTAGAAGTGAATATCCTGTATAAGGGTAAGGTTCGACTCTGCAGCTTTGTTGCAGTCTTGCAGTGTTGACTCGTGGAGGGATTATCAAGAGCGATATAAATGAGAGAGAAATGTTTTGTGCGAGTTGAATTGTTACCTGATAACTGGATTTTCTTCTTAATCTCGACAATGTTTTTGTTAAGCTCGTTCAGCTTGTTTTCAGCGATAGACAAAGTCAAAGATTCGGACATGTTTTCGCGAATGAAAAAGGATACCTATGTGGAATACTGTATCGACCTAATAATGTTGTTCGTCGTCCGGACGACACGGCTCTGGTTCTCATGTCGTATACCGAAGAAGTATACAATGTACATATAATACAATAAATAATTTAATTTAAAAAATACAAAAAAGAGAATATACATATATATATATATATATAACCATTTTCCATAATTTTTTTAAATAAATTTTATTAAATTTATAATAATTATAAACTATTTGGTAGATTCTCAATGATATCAAATTCTAATTTTTCTACTATATTTAACAATAAACATCTTATTAAGCATAATCGACACAATAAATTCTTTTTAAAGGCTTGAAATGTCTTAATAATATATGTAACTTGAATTGCAACAAAATTTTTTCACTGCATCACATACCTATTTATTATATAGTTCTGAAATAATAAAATACATAACATAATAAAATACATTAAAATACTCTTTTTTACAAGTCGGAATCGTACTCAACGTCGAAAAATTGCGGAAAATAATTATTCTCTTTTTTATATTCGAAAAAAAATTATTTTTTTGTCGAATTGTGTTATTATTTATTAATTTAAACAAATAAAGCTACTAACGATTAATTGTTATAAAATATTGGTAGATCGTTTAAAATATTTTTCTAAATAAGATTATTCTCAATTATTCTCAAGACACACATACATATACGTGGTATGTAAAAAAAAAAAAAAGAAAAAGAAAAATGTAAAAATGCGTAAAAACAATTTCTCTATAATTTATATTACATTATTATGATAAAAAAATTTTAACATAGTTATGTCTAATAGCTATTGCGCAGCTATTTCAATATCTTTATCCATTTCGTTTTCAGAATCTTATCAGTTGGACGTCAACTGCCATTGTGGTCCGCAAGACAATTGTATCGTGGCCAGGCTACTCATCGTCGTCGTCGCCGGGTGCAGATGTTTGCAGTTCGATGATAAGGTTAATGGCACCATTAATAAGGCTAATAGGAAGCCGCGTGTTCACAGCTTCGTGCGTGCATCTCGCGTGCTGCGGGCGCACAAAGGACTAGAGGCGATTCGTAAAGAGGTCCGTCACCTCTTCTCCTCGGGAACGGTCTCTCTCGAGACCGGGTTCACCGAATTATAATTCCGCATTTGTATTCGTTAAGCCGCTTGCCGGTTAAGGCTATATAGCCGCGATGAATTTCGCGTTACACGCAATCAAGCATGGCCGAGCCTTAATTAATGATCAAGCGTGTTATTTTCCTCTTAGTGCGCGATTCATTGAATATCGACGCCCGAAGCGCTGTAAGCTGCTTTTTATAGCATTATATCGACAGATATATGGTATTAATACCAATACCGGCGCTAATATGTATCAACTGATCGTTGTCTGATGCAATCAGATATCGATACTTAATTAAAATTCTTAAACTACTGTCTGTTGTGTATCCTCATAACTTGCGTTTGTTTTTACCACTGCAGTAGCGATCATTGATGGATGCAGTCAATAAAAAAGAATTATACATAATTTTATATAAAAATAATAATTTGATAAGTTTACTCTTCTGGCCCATTATTTATTATTTATTATTTGCATATACAAATTCGCGTTATATATATAATATATATATATAAATCGAGCATAATTATGAACTGCATTAATCTTGTAAAAAAAAAAAAAAAAAAA